TAAGACAAAACATCCTCAAGTTTCATGTCATGAACTTCAGATAACGATTGCGTATTTTTACGCTGATAGATGAAATGCAGTAACTTTGATGTAGGATTGTGTTTCTTGAAGGTTGTACATTTTCTTCCACTGAACACATATTCATTTCCCTTAGAGCACCATAAAATCCTAGAAATTCATTTTCAACTGCCTTTAGAAACAGCTGTACAGTGCATTAGATTTTAAGTAACAGCATCAAATAAAGTGGATCACATCATTATTCTTTAATCGTTGATTGTTTGGAATCGGGATGACAATCGTTTGAAATTGAATGTCCACAATCCATTGATCTCCTTCCGACTAGTGTTTGATAAATGATTGGAGCCGGTATTAACGTGGTGCCGGGGCTGACTGTCGTGTTTGGCATTTGATCTCTATTTCATAACGGTGAAGATTTGATAGTTATGCTGTGGACCTCTGTGAACACGAGCCTTACCAAACAGCATCCCTGGGGATGTATTGTAAGTGTCCATCAATTCAGTTACCTCATTGAAATTCGCACAGTGTTTCGAGGATTCCTTTGGACCTGGCTCGTAATACTAACGGAGTGAGAGAGTGAATGTTTGTAGCATTTTCTTGGCGGTCTCATTATAGCCCAGCACTCGTGGAGAGCAACCTTCTCGTTCCTCCACAGTTAACATTTTCACGGATGCCTAATCATAGCCCATAGGTCCGGACGGATCAGTGGCAGACGGGATAGGTGACCATGTACATTGCTGGTCTCCTCGCATTACATCGGTTGGGCACTAGGGTTCCGCTCAGAAAAAATCTCAGTTGCACATGGACTTGCTCCAGAGGAGATGCTGACGTGCACAGACACGCACACTTATTTGCAATCTCACCGTGCTGAGAATGCAAATAAACAATTCACGTTTACACATTGGTTATTCATAACATGTAGTACTTATTAAGCATGTCAAGGATGCTAATCTCGTTGAGCTGAATGTCATGTACATTCTCTATGCAAAATATGTGTGCAGCTCCAGATTCGACATCGATACTTGGTACACAGAGAAAGACCTATACTCGTCGGTTGACAATGAGAGCATTCATTTCCCATCGTTCAGCTGGTGTGCATTGCATCAAAAAGTAATGTTGCAACATTCAGAAGTTTATTTTTCCTTTGGCTAATTGTAAAGTATCTAAAATATACGTAGAGAAACAAATAAAGGAACACAGGAAACAACAAGTGTTCCTTTAATATTTTCTAGTTTTCATCACTAGCTTTGAATAACGCTGTTGTGATGAAACCTGAAAAATAATAAAGGAATATTTGCATTTTCCAGTGTTCCTTTATTTGGTTCTCTATTATACATTTCCTGTACACCTTACAAGATGACAAGTACGTGTACACTTGTTTGGTCACAGCCCAAATTCCAAGATACATTTTGTACTTTAATTATGAGACGCTTATTGTAACCAACAGATTCAAGGAGAATGGCAACACGAGGATGCTCTATCATCAGATTCAGGAAAACAGCGTAAGAACGCTGAATTCTAGAAGGCCAACCTTCTTGTTGAGGGGATCATTTACAAGAAACTATTCCATTGATGTGGGCAGTTTCTCTGCGGATGAAATCTTTTGATGCTCAATCTCCTTACAGATTTCTTTGCAATGTCGACATGCTTATTAGAAAATGAACAGCATGTGGTTTTCCAATTGTAATTGTTACCAAGACGTTCTCATCATGCTGGACCCATTCTGTGTAGATTAACCGTCATTGTTCTATTATGTTTTTGCTCACAACCTTAATCTCGGAATGCTTTATCAATTTCCGTTCAGGTAAAAGGAAGTAATGTGCGGCGGGATCGACCTTTCTCTTTTTGATGGACAACCTTGGGTTGATCTGGTAATGTACTGTTTAAATAGACAAAGAGCAATGTAGATAATATTAGTTCCAATATTATCCTGTCCGTAAGTCTGTCGACATTTCTGTTCGCCTCCGGGAGATTAATGCCGCTGTGACAATCTCACGTCTGTAATCACAAATAAAGGATTTCACTCACTGTAATGGAAAGAGATCCTTTTAGTTTTGGGTTTAAAAGTCCGGAGTACATACATCCAGTAAAATCTGGAGCTACAGGCCAAACATAACGCGGATTTGCCCCTGTTGAAAATTGTGCAAACCCAAAGTTTGATGATGTATTGGAGGAAGAGAATACCTGATGATGACCACATGTAGGGTGAGTGAGTATTATGTTACGCCGCGTTATCCAGTAATATCACGGCGGGGACACAAGAAATGGGCTTCCTACATTTTCCCATGAGGGGGTTTGAATCCGGATCTTCGGCGTGAAGAGCGAACACTGTGACCACAAGGCTGACACCATCAAGTGAGGCGAGAGTATACTGTATATACTTTGTTGTGTGTGTCAGAGGCTGATGTGGAACTTTCTATTTCACGCATTTTCGTTTTCATCCATTAAGTACCTTAGTTTATGGTAAGCAGTTTCTGATATCTTAAACACCCTTGTGGTCAACCATTGCTAAATCTGAGTATAATTTGTACATAAGTGGTAAAACTGGTCGCCAATCATTTTGGTTTGATGATCTTAAAATATGTGCTATATATAAACCAACTTAACTTTTAATTTCTGATTATTATAACAAAATGCTGGCATGGAAACAACGTATGATAGTCCTACAGATGACAGACAATGCTCCATGCTATACGGCTGCGGTTGCGAGCTTGGTCGTGAGTAAGGTATTATCCACCTTTTTTCTCTGAGTTCTCTTAAAAGTTTTCAAACATTTAACACAAAAGCAAATGTTCAATTGCCACGCTTTGTCACAGAACAAGAATCCGTTCACACTGACAAACCAGCTGGGGGTTGTGAAAGAAACGCTTCTCACAATCGTAGAAATTGAGTTGGATGTTTGTGACAAAAGGATGGCGCGAACAATTTCAAACTGGTATTCCTTGATCTGTAATAGAAGAGAGGTTTCACACGTCCTTTTGCCGAAGTTACTATAGGGTAAATGTATGAAAAAGCAAAACTAAACCCCCGCAACAACAATCGGACGATCATTACCAAGAGGATGAGTTTTAGCTTCAGGTCGCTTTTAGCAATATTCCAGCAATATCACGTCGGGGGACACCAGAAATGGTTTTCACACGTTGTACTCATGTGGGGACTCGAACCCGGGTCATGATAAATGAACGATTTAACATTCGGCTACACCACCATTATCAAGGACATATAGCTGGAATATTGCTGAGTGTGGCGTAAAACTAAACCCATTCACTAACTCAAAGACTTTTCATTATCCACAGAGTTTTGTCTGAGTGAATTCATGTAAAGAGAACTCTCACATGTAGAGCACGTCGGTACCATCGTGAGTTATTACTGATGTTCCAATTACAGGGTGTTCACAAGTGGACGTCGAGACTGGGACGACTCTGCTGAGTATTCCAGATTAACTCAATAAGCAGACTCATGGCAGACTTGATTAACAGATATGCACCGTCACGAACTAGCTTCACGACACTATGCTAATCGTCCCTACTTCATTAATGACAGACAACGTGTCGTAAACAAGTTCAAGTCCAAAGTTGGAGTGCACCTTAAAGTACCCCACCTTAAAGTGTGTATCATGATTGTTGACATGCTAGGTTCGTATGAGATCAGTGAGTGTGTGTGTGTGTGCGCGCGCGTGCAAGCATTAATATCCCCCCGGCAGTACTATAACTCAGCTGTCTCCTAACCATCGTGTCAGATGTTTTTATTAATGATGTGATTAGATAAGGTATTGTTGACAAAAGAAGGATGACAATGAGTTCTCTCTGCCCCAAAGCATAGTTTGCTGTACAGATATCCAGAAACGGGCATAGATTCAAATAGGTTTGTTGGCCTTGACCTCCCGTACTCAGAATGAAGGAGACAAGAACTACCCACGGCCCTCTGACATACCTGGTAGATCTAATGCATCACTCAGGTAAAGGTAGAACAATTAGGTAGAGTGGAATCTGTCAAATCCGGACTCTGTGTAATCCGGTTTTCTCCAAATTGTTCTTTATTTATTATTAAAGCGTGCTTTATAATCCGGACTCCCCCATGATGCTTGTACCTCCCCGTGAGTCTCTTTCCATAACACATTGGTCTGGGTAACGCTGGCCACGTCGCCATATTCTTGTTCTGACATCTGCAGTTGATACGCAGTACCGACTCTCATCTGTGAACAGAACAGTTCTCCATTGCCTGTATCGCCAGTTATGGTGTTGTAGGGCAAACTGTAGACGTTCACGCCGATGACGAGGGGTGAGGATAGGTCCACGGTAAGGTCTACGGCAATGGAGGTTCCTGCTGTTAAGACGTCGGCGTACTGTATCAGTACTGATTGGTCTTCCGTGTGTTCCCACTGTCAAGCGTGCTGTTTCGGATGCCTGCATGAAGGGATTCTGTACATGCTGTCGCACAACATGGCGGTCTTGCCATCTAGTGGTCAACCTTGGTCTGCCAGTACGGGGGCGATCATTTGTGGTGTTGGTGGCCCGGAAACGTTGCTGCAGCCTGTAGATGGCCCGAACATTGACCTGGAAGTGACTGGCAACGGCTTGTGTAGTGTGGCCATCTTCAAGTCTTCCTTGCCCCTGGTTCCTCTCAGCTGTCGTGAGTCGCGGTATCCTGCTGACGTTATAACGTGAATGTTTCAACCAGGTTTGGGGATGCATTTTATAGGGCTGGTCTTGTGAACAGCACGTGCACCATGATTTGCATTAAAAGCATGGAGAACACCGTACCATCTCCGAGATGAGGTTGCGTTTTTGAGACCATGTCCTGTGTTCCATTCTGAGTTTGGGAAGGAATTTCTTTGCTCGGGTAAAGTTGGAGATGTTGTCAAAAATATACCATCAAAACATTAAACGAGTTTACAGTTATCCGTTTCTGCGAAGGAAAATTCCAAACTGACGTTTATTTTGCTGCTTAGTATATAATGTTTTATCTGCTTATGGCGAAAGGGCAAGTGAACTGAAGCAGAACAGTTGGATATGCTGCTGGCGGAGTGGGCTTTGGAATGTTAACATGACACAATTACAAAAACTGTGTCAGTGTGAAGTAGTGCGTAGGACGACATGAAAAACAGGCTGTGTCAGGTTCGTGTGTGACCAGATGCTACATTATCACTGACGGGATGAACTGGGTGGTCGTACTGTGTATGTCCGGCGGTTGTCTGATCCTCGTCGGGGGCTGTTTGCTTTACCATGGACTCGGAAGGCTTCTCTACACTCACACTGGGGGGAAGTGAATACACAGGAACTTACATTTTACTCCTGGCAGTCGGTAAGTATTGTGAATTATTTAGGTCAGCACAGATAACTACTTCTTTCATGTGCAATTTGTAAAGGCGTTTCAGGGCTGCAGATTCGTACTTCAGGGACAAACGCGTACTGAGATGGTACATATATCATTGTATTAACACAATAACACATGTTTCATGGCCGGATCCAGGGATTTTGAAAGGAGGGGGTTCAGGGGGTTCAGGGGGTTCAAAAACCCCCATTGGCTCCGCCAACTCCAAAATGAAAATCTTCAATGTGATCTTAAGTCATTTTTAAAAGGGGGGTCGAACCCCCTTACCACCCCACCCCACCCTCTCTGAATCCGCCACTGCATGTGTACACATTATCCACCTGAGGAAGGGCAAGATGTAGTCACGAATCGTCATTTCAAGCACGGACGCATGTTTGTTATGTAACGCTGCACTCATTCGCACTTAAAACCTTTTACAGCCATCAGTAGCAAAAAAACGCATTTGGAACCTGGTCCATTTAACATTTCCTCAAAATGAAATCAATTGCACGATACATATCACATCCTCAGGAAATAATCAAAACATGAATGTTAAGTGGGTGAGTGAGTGAGTTTAGTTTTACGCCGCACACAACAATATTCCAGCCATGACTGTTAAGCTTACCCGATCGAAAAACAACACAAATGTATGCCATAAAGCTGCAAGCTGCGTGTTTCTGTTAATGTTTGCACTGAGTTAAGCTTCGCACATTCAGCACTTAAAACCTCTGACAGCCATAAGTAGCAAAATTTTACATCAATAGATTCCATTTTTGAAACCTTTTTTTAAAAAATGCACTTTGAAACTGGTTCATTGAACATTACCTCTAAACAGTGAAACCAGATAAATGACGCTTGTTCCCACATCGTTAGAGCATGAATGTCAAACAATGATGTTCGATATCTTAGCTACTGCATCCACATTGAAAGCACCTGTTAATGTTCTCCCCTCATTTATGTTCGAAATATCAAGTGGTGTGTGTATAGTATGTAGATGGACTACATGCCACACATGCGTTCAGTGTTCCACCCTATTTTCATTTTAAGAACATGGCAAACGTCAAGTCAAGTCAAACCAGAATACCAGGAAAACCGATCATATTGTTTAGCCTCACCACACGGGGGCTGACTTCGGATTTCGATGTGTGGTGTCATTTTGGGTTGAGGTTTTCACAGTACTAGTATATGCTTCATGATCTCATTCCAAATGTAGTACAAAACGTCAGCTCGGTTTGATAGATGAATGTTTAGCTCACCTGATCGAAAACAACAATTTATGCAAGGAAGCTGCATGCTGAGTGTTTCTTTTAATTTTGCACTGGCTTCGAACATTCGGCACTTAAAACTTCTTATAACCATAAGTTGCAAAACTCAAAATCAATATATTCCGTTCTTGAGAAATTCAAAATTCAAAACCCACTGAAACCAGATAGCTGACGTATGTCCCCACCGCTGCTAGAGCAGGGATGCGTTGAAGATGTCAAAAACTGATGTTCGATATCATCGCCATTGTACCCAGATTGCTTTGCATGTTCATCACTAATGTATGTTCGTAATGTCAAGTGGTGTATGTGTAGAGGGGCGGTGGGGTAGCCTAGTGGTTAAAGCGTTAGCTCGTCACGCCGAAGACCCGGGTTCGAATCCCCACATGGGTACAATGTGTGAAGCCCATTTCTGGTGTTCCCCGCCGTGATGTTGCTGGAATATTGATAAAAGCGGCGTAAAACTTAACTCAGTCAGTCAGTTAAGGATCTTTTTAGTACTGTTAATTTTCATTTAATTATTGAATTTGTAAAATAAATAGAATTATTAGAAGTTAGTTGGGCTCAGTAACACATGTACGGTTCGTGTTTCACGCCAGTATAAATTTGATAAACATTAAGAACATGGCAAATATTAAATCAAAGTGGCACATTTTAAAGCATTGTAAAATTATTGTCCTCCTGTGGGGATACGTAAATTTATACTTACCAGATGTTTTAAAACGTAGTATTTTTGTAATTTTAAATTATGGCTAGATTTGACTACAATCACCAGTGGCTGAGGGGATGATGTAAATCTAGATAGGGTCCATGCAGGTAGCAAAGGCATTGTAATTCCCATGGTCCCTAGTATGGTGGTCTACCTTCAGTTGTTGGCGACCAATAGCCCATATTTACATTGTATTGTCCACAAATAGATTGTTTTTTTGTCCTCAGAGATCCCTGTTGGGCTGCTGATGCTGGTGACTTCATATACCCTCCTCCATGTTGCAAGTCTCTACCCATCTAGACATCATTCTATCAAGTCACTGTACAAGCAGTACATCTTTCAAACCAATCGTGTGAAGGCCGTAACAAAAGCAAGACAAACATTCCACCTCATTCTGAAAAATACACAATCATGGCAAGAATCAACTTTGAGAGATATACTTAAGAGCTGTTCAAATACAATTTATGGTAAACATCACAACTTTTCAAATATGAAGACAATGTCAGAGTTCCGGAGTCAGCACCAGTTAACAGAGTATGAACATTACAACGGATACGTCAAAATGGCTCTTGAAGGAACACTTGACGTTCTCTTCCTCGGTGCTGCAGACTTCTTCATTGTCACCTCCGGTACCACGACGGGCAAGAGCAAGATTATTCCCAGAAACACGCGACTGTTTGTCAACACAATTACCGTCCCAGGACAAGCAACGAGAGCAGCAATGTTCGATATCCCGGGTCAACATACACTGAAACGATGGCTTGATGTGAGAATGATAGATGCACCCAGGACAATACGACCAGGTGTGTTCATGGGTCCCGCCTCCTCCTCCAGTTTCCCCATCAGTCCAATCGCCGTCAGTCCATCTGCTGTTTATAGGATCGAGAAGGAGGAAGATTGTCTCTACGTTCATGCATTCTTTGGTCTAAAAGACTTAGACGTAAACTATATGCAGTTTATGACGTCAACCATTGCCCTTAACTTCTTCCGTATCATTGAAGAAAATGCAGAACGGTTATGTGAAGAAATTGAGCATGGGACTTTGTCCACTGATCTCAACATCAGTGATGACATACGTGAGGAGCTTCAGACACATATCACTCCGGATCCTGAACAAGCAGCCATTGTGAGGGAGGTGTTGGTGGATGGATGTGAGAACATTGTGCAGAGAATGTGGCCATCATGTGGCCTACTGAAGTATACAGCAACAGGATCATATCAACATGCAGTAAGTACCATCCCAGCAGGCACATCAACGTTGTTTCAACGTTGAGAATAGGTTGATCCTTAACGTTGAAAATAGATTGAAAATAGGTTGTATATGAAAGTTTTTTGGACGTAGATATCCGACGTGGAATCAACGTTGAAGTTTGACCGATTATCAACGTTGAGAATAGGTTGATCCTCAACGTTGAAAATAGATTGAAAATAGGTTGAATATGAAAGTTTTTTTGACGGAGATATCCGACGTGGAATCAATGTTGAAGTCTGACATATTATTAACGTTGAAAATGGGTTGTTCCGTGGTTGTGTCTAGGAGGTATTACGCTTTCCTGTAAATAGACTCGCACTTCATCTTTAAACTACAATAAAGTAGCACCAAACTCCTGCATCCAGATAAAATACCCAAAAAGCTACCTGCAATAAACAGTGCTCAAACAGAAAATTGCAGTAAAAATATTTACCTGATAAAATACTGGGTTAAAATTCCACATTCAATATATTGTTCATTTAAGTTTTATGTCAGTTGGACGTATAATTCCAGTAAGAAGAAAAGAGTATTCCAAATTAAGAAAAACTATTTACTGTTGTATTGTTACCTTGAAAAGGTGAAAATTGTCCCAAGAAGACATTTTGTCTGAATTTCAGCTCTTAGACAGACCCCTGAATAAACACAATGCAATTACTTTCACCATGAAAGGGATCCAAGATGACCAGGAACTATACCTGAAGACAGCACATAAAACAAGTCACTTTTCATGAAATCTTTATGAACACACACGCACACAGAAAACGTGGTTTAATACATAATGTAAAACATCACACATGACATAGTCTGTAGGTGATCTCTGTTGTGCTAATAACACAATATCATCTGCATATAGCATCAAAGTGACATTTACGCCACCAATTTCAATACCACAATTCAGATTTTTCAACACAATTCCAACTCCAAAAACACAATTATCAGCTCCTCTTCTTTCTGCCACTCCCTGCCTGGCGGTCAGGTGGATACTTCAGAAATGTTCCTAACTCTTTCTTGAAATTTGCTTCGGATGCATTCCCATCTCATTCCCTTGGGATAGGACACATTCTGAAATTTTATATTTAAATACATGAATAAGTTATATGGAAGATATATTGTCTTAAATGATTCAAGTATTTGTTTAATCAATCACTTGAAAGGTTCATTTCACTGCTGTAACTTGGCATGTGAACATATGAACAGCATCAATACAAAATATGACGAAAACTGTAAACAATTTATATTTTCAACCGAAGGAATGGAAGGTTTCTTAAATATTTTCAAAGAAAATCCTCAATTGCAAGTTGATTATTTAATTAGACTATGAATTACCGGTCGGATGAATTAGACGATGCTTTACTGTCATATATTATTTGCTATGGTCATGATGAAAATGCTGCACTTGGTAATTAACTTACCAGAGATGATTGAATACAACCTTGTATTCTTAAAAGAAAACTTCCCGTTTTGCCCATCAACATTTATTCTTGACATTAAATTGTTTGACATTGTCCTGCAAAACAATGGAAGATTGTTGTTATTCTGTCAGATTTAGTTTTCTTTAGAGATTCTCGGAAATGATTATTTCAAATTAATAGGAGTTGAAGTGATGTAGCAATTTTGCTACCAGGAGTCATAAATTGTAACAAAAGCCATTTTACATTAAATGATAAGAAAATAAAATGGGTGGTGGTTCACAGGTCAAAGAACAAGTCTATTGTGGGAGGTCTCCCAACACCATTTGTTCCCAAACACAAGGAAGTATGGATCATGGAGTTCTGAAAACAATAATGAGCTCTCATAAGTATAAAATATATTCTCTATTATCTACTCTCCCTCTCTCTTTGTCATTTGTACACTCATAAAACTCAGATAAATAACTTTTTTATAATTCATAAATGTTTACACTTAATCTCTTATAGGAACGCTTAGAAAATCTCTCATATAATGAATTATGTGTGCGTATTATCTGCGACGTCATAACTATGCTTCTCTGAATCATGAACAATAAAATAATGAGATTAAACTCTACATTGCCAGAAATAATCTATCATACCATGAATAATAAGACATTGAATAACATCTCTTACAACTCCAATCTACACTCAAAAAGACTTAAATGTACTCGTAAACAAACATCGCTGGCTAACGCAAATTCTTGGAAACAGTGCATCTCTGACTCTCAATTCCAAGAAATGGAAGTCCTACTCTATTTGACCAAAGGGGTGACAGGTGGCTAAAACATATTGAAATGTAGGTCATACACTGAAAAAAAATCTGATTTAAAACACTACAAATATACACCTTCTCTCTAATATACTCGATATATGATCTTAACAAGGGAACATGTACATAAAATGCTGATATCTAACAACACCTGTACTTTAAATAATGGACTCTTCCAAATCTCAGTATGTTTCACTGCACACATATTAGATTGCAAATAATGAAAAACCTACCCTTTGACAATAATAAAAAACATCATATTCAAATTCTACAGCTGACCAAATACCTGAAGAGTGTGTTTCCCAGCAATAAATATCTCTATATATCTATAAATGTATGACTTCTGTCCTCTCGCGTGCTATCTTGCATCCAGCTGTTTACGGCGAAAAACAATATGGTGCCAAGCAAGGGAGTGCTCATTAAACTAAACATCTCCGGGAGAAATCATTGTCAATTTCTTTCTCTTAAATGATCAACCTTAATATATAAATGAAAATAAAGACCAAACATTATCACAAATATTCAAAACAGGTGGTAATGAAAGAGCATTATCATCTTTCTCTTAAACTTTGTGGTGGATATACTGGAAACAAGTGAAATGTTAAAAACGTGTTACCTTAGCCTTGCTCCTTTTATGTGATCCACAAAATTGCTGCCACCCAGTCTTCGAAGATGAGATTTCTGCAAATTCCATTAAAATAATCTTATTTCATAATTAAATGTTCCTTACATTAAAATTACTTCTTTTGTATGTAAGATTTTAACCTTTAAGAGACATGAATTATCATATCCCTTCCAAACAAGTGTAAGAATGAAAGTCTGTGGGTGCAGTTTTGTTAATTGTCCCATCAAAGAATCATTAGTGAAGTTACACTTTTGTAAATAAATAAAAGTTCAAATAAATTATATACAATTTCATCCTTAACAAAGACTTTCACAAGACATTTTAAAGTGAAAATTTTCGTTGCATTTCCTTACGCCATTCTCCACCACCCCCTCCCCCCAATAATATACATATGTTGACAGGGTTCAGGGCGCGCTCAATGCATCATTTACTGATAGATCTATTCAAACGAACAAATGTTCATAATAATGGGATGCAATATAAAATGTTGATTAATCCTATCCGATTTTGTATAGCTGCCCTTAGGGACCGTTCATAATGTATGGCTTTGGGGTGATGTTGATTTTTATGTACAATGTGAATTACACTCCCCTAAAAGTGTATGAGTATGTACAGAATAAGAGACGGCCCACCCTGCATGTCATGTACATTATCTATGACGCCCTCTCCCCTTCCCATAATTTCTAAACATAGTGCGTGTGTACAAAAATGCTGACCCCTTAGCTCCCCTGAACAAAATGGGTGACACCCCACCACCCCACCCCACCCACCCTCCAACCCTTACAATCAACACCCCCACCCGCAGCCATATATTTAATTATGAACGGTTCCTTATATTGATGTACTTCATTGATTATTTGAAAATGTATATTTGCAAAATTCAAATCAGGTGATGGGTACGAAAGGTCAACATCTGGCTTGTGTTTGAAAGCAAACTGTCGGGAATTATACAATTTTCACAGTTTTGTGGGAAAATATCAAATGTAATGCAATTTGGATAACTGATGACTTTATACCTAAAACTACGATTTACGTAAAATTTCCGTCCGTTGATCGATGCACAATCAAATAATATATAAGATTATATCTGTCACTAGCTCGATCTTGATCTTTTATGAAAATAATGTTCCGAAATGATAGTTGCTAAGTTGGATACCTATTACCAATATGAATTATGTATCAAATTTGCCAAGGAAACAATTAGTTGACATTTTGTTGGTTCCTTACGTTGAAACAACGTTGACAACTAAACGAATCTCGACTAACTTTCTTTGGTCGCATGATAAACGTTGAATCAACGTTTATGAAAGGTTGATCAACCAAACAACCAAAATTCAACGTTGATTCAACGTTGTGTGCCCGCTGGGATACGACTATCCTTAAGAAAAATACATCACAGGATATACGTAAGCTGTCATTAAAAACAATAATTTGTACGAATATGTGAGACTAAAACTGACACAATATGGTACACACCTATATCGTTTTGCAAATTGTCTTGGAGTGTTTGGAAATGCCTTAGAAGTCACTCGTAGTCCATACCCGTCCATTATACCTGCAGATGTTTGGTGTCATATATGGCAGAGTAGCAACGCTAAACCAAATGAATGACATTTGCATGTATGCACATGCCATTTGGAATAATTAGGACGTATACTTCTTCAAATTTTATTTCAATGGTTAGACATACACTCATGAAATCATTAGATTCAGAAATAATTTGGAAAGTGTACAATTGCACGTTTTGCTCATATAGAATATATCAGATACGTAAGGAAACGTTAGGAACAATTAGAGAGCCACCAAATCGATGAGTTGTGTGTTTTATTTCCTTTTAAGATCATATAGAGTCAGTAATGGTCAATAAGACGATGTGAAATTGTGAAATATTGAAATCAGACCTATTTGAAATATGAGGGAATACAACTAGTTCCATCTCTTCAGACGCTTGGTATCTCCAGAGCTCAGAGCTCACTGACCTTGACACAAGATGTTCTGTACACAAGCCAGGGATATTTATTGCTAACTGCCGTAGTGTAGGATTAGTCAGTTATATTATTTGTAGGCTCATCACAAGAAATATTGCGACTGCGTGTTTAAATACAAAGGAGTTATGTGCCTAGTTTTATAAACATCTCTAATATATTACTGGATACTATCTGTCAGCAGTTTGTTGCTTCTGTAGCATTCACGGAAATATTCAGGTCTTCAGTTATGTCGGATCTGATGACCTAAAGCCTATTGCATTAGCTGTAATAAAGTAAAATAATATGTGGGGAATATGCGTCAGCGAAGATAACTGCATTGTAACATGGCAGGATTGTGTGACCAGTACTTTACTTTGTTACATATATGTCTTATTACATCATTAGATCCGTGAGTGAGTGTTTGAGTTTAGTTTTACGCCGCACTCAGCAATATTTCAGCTATATATCTGCGGTCTGTAAATAATCCAGTCTGGACCAGACAATCCAGTGATCAACAGCATGAGCATGTTGGGATACAATGACATGTGTCAACCAAGCCAGCGAGCCTGTCCATCCGATCCCGTTAGTCGAATCTCACAAGCATGGGTTACTGAAGATCAATTCTTGCCCGGACCTTCAAGGGTCCAGATACCCGCTGTGTTGGACACAGGTAACTGAACGCCTTTTAATGTTGTTTATGGAAGGGTCACGGGACAGGATTCTCAGAGGGGAAGGGTGAAAGAAAAAAATGTAAATGTGTAAATGCATTTATGTCGTAAATACGAACTAATAAGGCTGCACTGTCTGGTCTGTTAGCTCTTCTAGTGTGGTGTCTACTCTGTTACACAATGTGTCTTTTGTTATCCTGCTCAACCAACCTGACGAGTATGTGGTATGCTGTCTTCTATCATGCACTCCCTTAGATGACACAAGGGGATCTCCTCTTCTCTGGTCGTCAAGGATTGTACAGACTATGTAGATACACCAAATGTACCTTATCGTAAAGTTACTTAAATCCAAACTCCTCTAAACCAGTGCTGTTCCAATTACTTTTATGTATTCTACTTCTCTCGCTCAATGTATATTTTATGGCTGTCCGTGTTATTGTACTTTCTATGGAGGAATTAAGAATATTATTATTACACTGAATGCATCGGGTGAGTGAGTGAGCGAGCTTGCTAAGGCACCAGGCTAGAGATTCAGCGAGCTTCAGGTGTAGGGATCGAGCCCACACGTAAACGGGTGTAAAAACCTTGGAGTCAACTTTGTGTGCAGACTCTTTCAGTGTTGTCACAACCCCTAGTGTACAGTACACAGCCCTGTGCACTTAAAAGATCCCACGAATCCTTTGGCAAATGACCAGATGGTGGCCACATGAATACGTGCAAACACCTAGTTGCGGGTAAACTTGGACAAAAGATACTTTGACTGTGTGTCCCAGTCCACCCAGCTGTGAATGGGTAGCTCATAAGGATGGGAGAGCCTCATTAACTTGGTGCCCCTAGTGGCTGCATAAGTTGTATTATCCCTAGGGAGTTGAGATTGAAACTACGATGTGCGTTGAGACTGACATCCAATGATCGAGAGAAACAACACGCCTTTCAGCAGCTGACCTGGATATTGTCGCTATACAAGAGTGACACTAACATGGACTGGATAAAGAATGTCACTTTGATACATTGCCTGGAAAACAAATTGCAGTTATCTAATATGACCACTTTGATGTGAGGTGTATAACAAGTATTATTATTAGCATGATGATGATGATGAAACCTCAGTGTTTACAGCATCAAAGTGTTCTACTTCCAGGCGGAGATATTGAGACAAAAGTACATAGGGAGTCTTCCAGTGAGTTCCTCCATGCACATTTCTTCTGAGGCTGTGTTCGGTGTGTGTGTGGACGTGCCAGATGACAGTTTACACGTGGAGTACACGATTCTCCCGCAGTCAAACTTCTACGAGTTTATTCCAGAAGAACACGTGGAGGAGAAACAACCAGATACTGTGCTGGCGACTGAAGTAAGCAAATTATTGTTTTTCGTTTGGGTATTTTTATACTGCATTCAGCAATATTGCAGTTATATGGCGGTCGTCTGTAAACAATCGAGTCTGGACAAGACAATCCAGCGATCCATATCATGGACATCGACCTACGCAACCAGGATGTACGATTACATGTGTCAACCAAGTCTCGGTTTTTTTCACTTTTTTATTCACACCAGTAGGTACATTCATTTTATACAAAAGTCATACAATGTTGTACAGCTTGAGGAATTAGGTAAGTCGGTGCTGAGAGTAATATTACCTGTTTGCTCATAGGTTCATGTGGTTTGTTTTCATAATAGCAACATATCATTCTGGGTAGCCAATAAGTAGAAAAATTCAAACATTATTATACAGATGTCATGCCTAATACAGGCCTGTACATGTTGACAATTCACACCACATCAGTCTTCAACCATGAGTAGGTGCATTCAAATATTATTGCACAAAGATTGTACACATTGACGATTCATGACTTATCAGACCATGTTGTGAGTAATGGGTGCCCGTTTGCTCCACATTCGTCTGATTGGTTTTCATTCTGCCTTCCAGAAGCGATGAAGGATATTAAGGACAAAGTTTAATTTCTTATACAGCTTATGTATATAAATATGTACGTCTGTTGTAACTGACTACCTGAAAGTTCCACTTTAAGCATGTTGAAGAGTCATGACACATCGGTCCATATTGTAAGTAGTGGTAGCCATTTGCTCATACATTCATGTGTCTGCTTTTTCATTCTGGCAACATATCACTCGACTTGAAAAATATCTTTCAAGGTAGCAATACAGGATTTGAAAGACAGAGATTGATTTCTAACACATATACATAATACATACATATATATATATATATATATATATATATATATATATATATATATATATATATATATATATATATATAAAGAAAGTGATGAGAATACCGAGCGTACAGTAGTACATATATAAGAAGAAGTTTCTGAAATAATTACACAACACGGATCTTCTCCAACATGTTTCACTTTTATCTTCAGGGAGAAGTGATTACAGTTAAACGGATTATGTTATGACGTCAATTTGTCATGACGTCACAATGCAACTGTATACAAATGTTGTGACGCGGCGTTGCCGTGACGTCACATTGGCGGCTTTATATTGACAGTACTAGTAGCACAATGAAAACAAGTATAATTCAGACACATTGCGTTACCTATTTAACGATGGACACAATTCTTTGATGAAAAAGTTTTCTTTAGCTTTACGCTGCATGGCGTCAGCAGTATTCATTTTATAGAAAGGGAATATTTTAAATTTTATTTCCTTTCCTGCTGCGCAATTGTCAATGTGAGCGCTTAAGGGGATGCACCTTGTTTTGGGGTCCTTAATCTGTTGTTTATGGACGCGCATTCTGTCCCTCAAGCACTCCGTTTGTCCAATGTATTCTTCATGACACCCTTGGCATATAATAACATAAATAATATGTTTTGCGGAGCAGTCCATGTTAGAGCGTACATGAAATAATTGTTTCCTGTTTTTGAACTTTATACATGAAGTTTCAAGTATATATTCACAAGTTCCACAATTTCCCCGTTTACATTTTGAGACACTGAATTCTGTAGGGCAACGCCGCGTCACAACATTTGTATACAGTTGCATTGTGACGTCATGACAAATTGACGTCATAACATAATCCGTTTAACTGTAATCACTTCTCCCTGAAGATAAAAGTGAAACATGTTGGAGAAGATCCGTGTTGTGTAATTATTTCAGAAACTTCTTCTTATATATATATATATATATATATATATATATATATATATGTTGCATAGATAAATGAAAACAGAATGCCTTTTCTATTTATCTGTGCAATATTTATGACTGAACACCTGTACTACTTTGGACATTTTGTGTGTATATATATATATATATATATCCGTTTCCAGCCAAAATAATTAGGTTCACCAGTTTGAAGTTTGCGGTCCCCTGGATACCAGATAGGATGGTTAAAGATTTAGCTGAATCTCATATATGTTGTCTCAAAAAGTGTTCCGGATTGTACCAAAAATGAGCAACCTCTTGACATTCAAAATAAATATGCACAATCGATTCGTTTTCATTACTACATCTTTGACAAATACTATTGTAGATTAACTTAAATAATTCCTTTTTAATGCATATAATGCGATGCAAACATCTATATTGGAAATCTTGTAGCTTAATATGTCTACAGCACAGTTTAGGAAGTCTAAATATTTCCTTCCAGTTTAAGTCAGTTAAGAACATTTGTTGCCATTTACTACAGATATTAGATAGATATTCGTTTTGCACAAGTATATCGTATATCTTCCGAAATCCCTTTTCAATCCCTTGGTTTAATCCATTTCATAAGAAAGTTAATAATCCTAAGATCGTAGATACATATAGGTTTAGAATTGTCTGTCACCCGTTTCCATTCTTTAGGGAGGTTACTAACATCTCGATAATGGTCTAAATATGTACTCCTAAGATTGATAGTATTTTCTTCAAGTCTATAAAGGATAAGAGCCCGTTCTCGTCACATAAGTCTCTTATGTAATGCACTACTTCACAGAGTATTCTATAATAGAATTTGAGTCTGTACACTGGTGGTTAAACCATATCGGTTCAGCTAGAATAACCCGAATATATCTTGCACCTGTCAAGTGAGACCTATCGTATTTACTCCAAATGTATATCAAATCCTGCCAGTAGGGGTTATCAGTTTTGCAAAGTCTGTAAGACGGTACATGAGCACTGAATTGAAAAAGGAGTTGTAAAAGAAAGTAGCTATTGTAGCGGTTCTTAAACATGTTTTGTTTTAGGATACTGAGCTTTAGCGATGACATAAACACATTTATATCTACCATTCTCAATCCACAATTCTCATAGCTTCTTGTCAGATTCGCCCGTTTAATTTTGTCAGGTTTGGAGTTCCAAATAAACTTGAATTTAGTTCATCAACAAATTCTTTGGGTGGCTGAGGCAATGCGGATAATATGTGAACAAGAGTAGATAATGCTAAAGTTTTTATCAGGGTTATTTTTCCAATTAATGTCAATTTACGTTTACGCCAATTTGCTAAAAATCACTTAATATTTTCTAGTCTTTTTCTGGTGTTGATAACCCATAGTCTTTCTAAATTTGCATTTAATTGAATGCCAAGGACTTCAAAGTCACCATGAACACAGTCTAAATTAACATCTTCTCACACTTTAATATTCTTTCCAATAATTGACGCGAGCCATGTTACCTTAGTTTTATCTGAATTCATCTTTATGCTCTATGTTTGTTTAAATAAATGCCTTTAATCGTAGCATTGTCTGTAATCATAGTGGCGAGTACTTCTGCAGCAAAAATAAATAAATATGGGGAGACTGGGTCCCCCTGTCTGTAGCCTCTACCATTATAAAAAAATTAAGAGAGATTGCCATTTTGTATGACACAAGAGGTTGCATTGTTTATCAAAATATATACCCACTTTATCATCTGAGGACCTGTATAGCTATTTTTTACACAGAAACAAAGGCTTTTTCAAAGTCTATAGAAAATAGCAAACCTCTCTTATTCTTAGATTTTGTTTCCAGGATGATGTCATACATTAATCTTATGTTATCTGCTAAAGATCTCCCTGGAATTAATCCTGTTTGATTTTCGTGTATCAAAAGATCCAAAACAGTCTTAATTCTCTTAGTGATACATGTGCTAATAATCTTGTAGAGACATTTTAAAAGGGTGATTGGTCGACAGTGTTTAAGTTAGGCCCTATCTTTGTTTCCTTGTTTGTTTTCTTAAAAGTGAAATCGAGGATGTGTCAACCAAGTCAACGAGCCTGACCATCCGATCTTATTAATTAGTCGGATCTTTCGACAAGCATGGGTTGCTGAAGGGTTGCAATTCTAAATCGGATCTTCCACGTGAATGTGGCAAACATTCATTAAACACTTCATATGCTTAGCAACTACATGTTTTAAAGTGACGAAATTTAGTTATATGTGTTTTAGATCACATCTAATATACCTGTATGTAACTGAACTTTAAAAAACCCACTTTTCAGTATGGGTTTCTTGGCGATGGTTGGACAGGTGGATATGAGGTTAGGTTGTAGATATTTTTTCGTTTGTTTCTTTGTTCTTTTTTATTTATTTATTTATTTTGTGTGTGTGTGGGTGGGGTGTGGGTGGGGTGTGTGTGTTGTTGTGTCGTTATGTTTTCATATTTTCTCATACATATGTCATTTAAGACCTACCTTAAGAGCATCAACAACAGAAAGCATTTGCATTTTTTTAAGATTACTCCGTATAACTCCGTATACATGCGTTGATAGAGAGTTGTGTACGTCTGTGTGATTTGTTGCATTGAAGTATGCATATTTTAAGAAAGCCCTACATACATTCAAGGTAGAAGCAGGGAAAACGTACGAGATCGTGGTCACCACTACACTGGGCCTGTACAGGTACCGGAGTCATGACCTGGTGGAGATCGTAGGCTTCAACCGAGACAGCGCCGAAATACAGGTTTTGTCGGAGGTAGGTAAGCGTGCGTGCGTATTTCAACGTGTACGTTATTTTTATACGCCATTTTAAAAGCTCTGTAATCTCATCTTATTGTCCGAGGTTTCCATTTAGTGTCGGCCCAAATTTAGATCTCCTATTTTTAATATGTGATCAAGCACGAGTCTTCAGAAACTCTCGTCAATTACAACTGGCGAATATCCAGTTCAGGTCAAGCATAGGACTTCAACAATCCAAGCTTGTGGTAGGATCGCCGACTTGGTTTGATGTGCATCATCTTAGCCCAAATATTGAGGCGCATATTGATCAGTGGATTGTCTGGACCAGACTCGATTACTTACAGACCATCGCCGTCCATCTGGAATATTACTGAACCACCAAACAAGCTGACGAGTTCGGCCACCATGCGTCTACCATGCGTAAACTCTAATTAATAGTGCCGTGGTTATCAGCGTTCGAATGAATGAAAACATAATTCATGTTTGGTTTGGTTTGTTGTTTTACGCCGCACTCAGCAAATATTACAGCTATGTGGCGACGGTCTGTGAATAATCGAGTCTGGATCAGACAAACCAGTGATCAACAGCATGAGCGCTAGTCTCCGCATTTGGGAAACGACGACATGTGTCAACCAAGTCAGCGAGCCTGACCACAATTCATCTGAGAATTGTTAGTGGTACTGGTGATCACAAGCAACCGCCTTTAATGCATCGCCATGTCATGCGTTAACTTTAGCCTGTGGTTCATCGCCTGTCAACACCTGTTCTACAGTAGTATTCTAATTTGTTTATTAATGTGACGCAATATCGAAATTAACTGATGTCTAACGATAATTATCCCCCTCAACGCATTTGCGGGGGTATTAATTCAAGTTGGATTCCGTTCGTGAGTCCGTTCGCGCACATTCGTCTCTTGCGGAGCAGAACAGGAAAAAACGTTCAATATTTCTTCACCAAACTTGGCACATGGTCTGGGGTTGAACAGGTGCTTTTAGGTAGTTATGGATTTCTGAATAAGATATTGTTTTGCGTTTCCATGACAACAAGTTTGACTTCAACTGAAATTGGTGTTGGTTCTCTTTTCCGGTGAAGAACTTTGAAACCTTACAATATTTCTCCACCAAACTTTGCTCATATATGGGTCTGATGGTGTGTACTGGTGGTGCCTTGTGGTAGTTTCGGATTTCTAAATAAATATATTTTTTGCGTTTCCATGGCAACAAGTTTGGCTTCTACTGAATTTGGATATAGTCCTCCTTTCTGGAGCAGAACTTTAAAACTTTTCAGTCCTCTCTTTACGCTTTGCTACATACACGCCCAAACATTTGCCATGGTCATATTTAGTTGACTCATTCATTAAGAGTATTTGGCCATTGCGGGGTATATTGATTATTTTGTGTTCTTGCTATTTCAGAACTGGAGAATGTCTAAGCGCGAATGTTGACAAGTATCCAGTACAGGTGTTTGAGGAAGCCATGAACATGACTCAGCTGAAATGGAAATGTAACATCGAGGATTATATGGCCACTGAAAACATAATAATTGCTAAAATGAATGGTAAGTGGACATTGTGAATTCTTCTCACATTTGTAATTCTTTCTTTCGAAGGAAAACTAAGTTCTATGGATAGTCAACTTGTTTATTGCAATGAGTGTGACGTTTCCGTTATCACGCAAGTGATACAACAATTTGAAACAAGGAGAATATATACACTGCTGCATCGTGAGTATATACAATTAACAAGGTTGATGTACATTGCATATTTGATAAGTGATTTCAGCAGAGGCGGGTGATGTACAGAGTGGCTGAATGTGATTAGAGTTGAGTTTATACAACTGATGAGTTTGACGTACAATGGCATGATGATAAGTTAGTACGTTGAAGTAAACTAGTTGCGATTGCAAGCACAAAGGGGAGCATGGAAGCCAGATGGACAAAGGAGGTATGGAAGGATTACTGGTGGTGGTCTTTGATTAGGTGGTGATAGGCCGAGGAGATGAAATAACCTTGATGTAATTGATCACTTATCAAATATCCAATGTACACCAACCTTGTTAACTGTATATACTCATTATGCAGCGATGTATTTTTTCTCCTTGTTTCAAATTGTTGTATCACGTCGCACTCATTGCAATAAAGAAGTTGACTATCCATAGAACTTAGTTTTCCTTCATCTTCACAACTTCTAAAATGCCTCTCAAAGAATCTTTCTTTCGAGATAACTTCTGAGTGCTTGACCAGCGACAGTAACAGAGGGACTGAATCAATAGCAAACATGATTTTAACAAAAAAGGTTCAAACGTTATCAAAACTTACATTGCTAAAAACAGCCGTCTTAACACTGCAAAGTTAAGTTAAAACCTGTATCAAAAACATCACCATCGATAACTATCCCCTCTTTCAGTCACAATTAAACATGGGTCCATAGTGTTCTCCGTCAATTTATTAAAATTTTGTGTAAAATTCTTACGAAATAAATATTGAGACTGGTGATAATCCGAATGGTCTTATCTGAGGATGTAGGTGTTTGGTTAGAATGGCATAAGTCTCTACGGTAATAAAAACAACAGTTTAAATGATAATTTCTAAAACAAAATACGTTTTGTGTTCAAGATATCCAGTATAGGTATGCCTTTACGTACATATTAATTCCCCCACGTAGCAATTGTCGTGTCAAAGAAAGCACAGACTGTTTCTTTACTAATGTTTCGCCATTAATGCACCTTTGATAAAGTGTTGTATCTAAAGACATCTGAACTGGTTCCAGGTACAGTTCCCACGAAATGCTTCTACTACGTGTTCCTGGAGATGGAAGAAGACATTATCATCACTGAAGAACAGAAGAAGATGGTAAGTAACAGACCACATATGGCCACTCATATGCAGTGTTTGCCCTTAACCCTGAAAAGCTTCAGGCCCTAAGGCCCAAGAACCATAAAATGTTGTGGGTCCTGATCAGAATGTGTAAGCCCTATATTTTGGATATGATATTCACAGCAATGAAAACAAGTGTGACAAAAAGCACAGTGAGTTAAATAACTTTATTTAGAAATTTAAACAAGAAATTACTGAATGATATTTTCCTTAAAATATTACTCTTAGTTTTTGGGGATGAAAAAGCTGTCGGCCATAAGGACCTTCAGAAAACAGCTGTGGGTCCGAGTGGTTTTCAGCCGTGTTCAAATACAACATGGATAGGTTGACTCGTGCTCTCTATACCCTGTCTTATTAGGCCATCGTGCTCAAATACAACATGGATATGTTGACTCGGGGTCTCTATACCCTGTCTTGTTGGGCCATCGTGCTCAAATACAACATGGATATGTTGACTTGGGGCCTCCATACCCTGTCTTGTTGGGCCATCGCGCTCAAATACAACATGGATATGTTGACTCGAAGTCTCTATACCCTGTGTTGTTGGGCCATCGTGCTCAAATACAACATGGATAGGTTGACTTGGGGCCTCCATACCCTGTCTTGTTGGGCCATCGCGCTCAAATACAACATGGATATGTTGACTCGAAGTCTCTATACCCTGTGTTGTTGGGCCATCGTGCTCTAATACAACATGGATATGTTGACTTGGGGTCTCTATACCCTTTCTTGTTGGGACGTCGTGCTCAAATACAACATGGATAGGTTGACTCGGGGTCTCCATACTCTGTCTTGTTGGGCCGTCGTGCTCAAATACAACATGGATAGGTTGCCTCGGGTTTCTAAACCCTGTCTTGTTAGGCCATCGTGTTCAAATACAACATGGATATGTTGACTCGGGGTCCCTATACCCTGTGTTGTTGGGCCATCGTGCTCAAATACAACATGGATATGTTGACTCGGGGTCTCTATACCCTGTGTTGTTGGGCCATCGTGTTCAAATACAACATGGATATGTTGACTCGGGGTCTATATACCCTGTGTTGTTGGGCCATCGTGCTCAAAAACAACATGGATATGTTGACTCGGGGTCTCTATACCCTGTGTTGTTGGGCCATCGTGTTCAAATACAACATGGATAGGTTGACTCGGGGTCTCTATGCCATGTCTTATTAGGCCATCGTGCTCAAATACAACATGGATATGTTGACTCGGGGTTTTTATACCCTGTCTTATTGGGTCATCGTGCTCAAATGCAACATGGTTCTGTTGACTCGGAGTCTCTATACCCTGTGTTGTTGGGCCATCGTGTTCAAATACAACATGGATATGTTGACTCGGGTCTATATACCCTGTCTTGTTGGGCCATCGTGCTCAAATACAACATGGATATGTTGACTCGGGGTCTCTATACCCTGTGTTGTTGGGCCATCGTGTTCAAATACAACATGGATATGTTGACTCGGGGTCTCTATACCCTGTGTTGTTGGACCATCGTGATCAAATACAACATGGATATGTTGACTCGGGGTCTCTATACCCTGTGTTGTTGGGCCATCGTGTTCAAATACAACATGGATATGTTGACTCGGGGTCTCTATACCCTGTGTTGTTGGGCCATCGTGTTCAAATACAACATGGATATGTTGACTACCCTGTGTTGTTGGGCCATCGTATCAAATACAACATGGATAGGTTGACTCGGGGTCTCTATACCCTGTGTTGTTGGGCCATCGTGATCAAATACAACATGGATATGTTGACTCGGGGTCTCTATACCCTGTGTTGTTGGACCATCGTGTTCAAATACAACATGGATATGTTGACTCGGGGTCTCTATACCCTGTGTTGTTGGGCCATCGTGTTCAAATACAACATGGATATGTTGACTCGGGGTCTCTATACCCTGTGTTGTTGGGCCGTCGTGCTCAAATGCAGCATGGTTCGTCACTGGGCTATCACAACAGAAACGTCCTGACTCTGGACGTCTTGAATGCGTGGATTTTGCTATGTAACTGAAACAACCTCCTCAAAGCAGCCCCAAAATATCAACTCAGCGTTGTTTGGTCCAGGCCCGGTTACGTATAGATCACCGTTGTATGGCTGTGATATTGCTGAAATTGCGTAAACAACAGCAACCAGCAAAACAGAATAACACAAATGCTGAGTTCCATCTCTGTCGCTGTTCCAGGTGGGCGAATGTCTTCTGGCCTGCAACGAGGACTACAAGGAGGTACACGACTATGGAGGTGTTGCACATCCCGCAGTGTTGCAGATGAAGAGGGGAACTTTCCAAGAAGTGAAACGCCTCATCATAAGTCTCAACCCAAATGCTTCATGCAGCCAATACAAGCCAGTCAGGTTCATGCGAAATCATAACGTACTCAAGTATCTCCTACAACACATTCAAGACCTCTGAATGGACCGTCATTAAATTTCAACATTTTTCCCTACTCAGTTCAGAATTATATTATGTGATATAATATGGAACCGCTTCAGTTATTTACCCAGTCTCATTTAACTGACGTGTTGCGTGCTTCGTGAATAGCTGGTGAACCACCAGATGGCGTCCATCGTCAAACCACCGCGTCCTCAAAGGGAGTTCACTTGAACAACTGAATAATAGACAGTATGCTTCGACAGTATACAAGTTACAGTTTTCGACTTTTTCGATTGACTGATTTTTAACAAAAAAAGCACAAGAAGAGTATTTCAGAGTGATCGTTTAATATATTTATAGTATACATATGTGTGTGTGTGTTTTACATAACTTATATTATAATATTAAATTGTCTTAACAATTAATTGTAAATTTGAATGTTCGCTACAGAATGTTAATTGAATGTATGCTGCTTTCACCAATACTTAATAAAGATTCCTGTTTTGCCGGAGATTCTCTCTGTTTGTATTTGAAGGCATGGAGATCCCGGAGCCAATTCCCCGAAATAATTCTAGGTTTGAACGGTCACACAACAAGACTGTTTCAGTATTAACCGTAAATTCAAGGCGATTTCAGAACAGTGGTTTTATGCATTGTACCCCTCATTGTCGTGACTTGGATTGGGTCTGATAAGGGACACCCTAAAAGTTCCCTGACGTTGGCGTTTCGTGGCGGCTGTATGGTTAGTTTAAGACTTTACCCCTCCAATCGCATTGGCAGGAGGTTGGGAAGGGGGTGAGAGGGGTCTGACTCCCTGCATATCAATATTAATTAATGATCAACGCAACACAAGGTTTTATATTCATGTAGCTTGAATATGTGTAAATACCTCTCATTTAATGAAAGGCGACATGGACAAACGGTCACAGAGCGGAGAACGAGAACGAACGAGGTTCGAATCCACCCCCTGACCCACACCAGCACAACAATGTTAATAGGTTGTTTTCAAAGCTTTTGAGCCTGGCCCGTTTTGTCGCATGTCCCTGATCTCATGTTTGTGTTGTGATTGTTTAATTACTGGAATCAAAAGGGCGAATTAGTTATCAATGATTCAGTTATGATTACACAATGACATTTAGAAAGTGGTCAAAAGTAACATATCTTATATTTAGAATTACGCTTTCTCAGTAAAGTACAGACTCTAGTACGTGTTGGGTCGAGTCACTCGCTCAGCCACCGCTAGTTCCACATTATAAATAATATTAAAAAATGTAACGATAGAAGATGACACAGTATAAAATCAGCAGCTGACAGTAGATTATACTAAGGACCTTGTGGACTTACAGTACATTTGCTTCCTGCTTGGACCCTTCTTGGATTTACACCATCCCTTCAGCTGTTAGCACGTTAAGACAATCTAGCCATAAATTTTAAAAAACACCACATTCACCGGATAACGATTAGTGACATGCTTCAGTTTACTTTGAATTTTTTGGGACTTGACGTACCCTCTATGGCTGACAATGATGTTACAGTACATTAACCCCCTTTGAGGATACAGACACTAACAACCTCAGTTGATAATCTAAACTACCAGTTATAAAACATTTATCTATTGACAAAACAGACATCACAATTTATTTTACAATTTTGTGTACGAACAACAGATATAATGTTGCTGTAATAGCTGGTGTGTAGACAGGTGGCTCTTCGCTTAACAAAACACCCAGAAAGCTCCCTCAGAGGGAGGTCATTTGAACAAAATAATGAATGACAATATGCTTTGACAGTATTCAAGTTACATATTTTGACATTTCTATCTGACTGAATTTTATAAAAGAATTTACTTTGAATTTAGGACGTTGACATCCATAGTTGCTCCCTGTTTTGTATACCTATTCTACTGAGTTTACTAAATGTCAGTCTGATGTTTGTGTAGACAAACATTACCTGACATGTTCCTCCAGAGAAAAGCATGATAGCGCGTAATTATCTGCGGTTGGAGTCACAAATCAGCGGACCTAAACAACGTGGTCATGATGCTCTCCTGGGACGTCTCGGGGCTTTGGTCCTGCTCAACGCTAAGAAAGGCATGGTACGCTATGGTACATCTCCTGTTCCACCCACCAGCTCGACATGTGAAGAATACAGTTTCTAGAAAATTGAATTCAAACGGCGGGATGGGAAGGTGTTAGTATCAGTGTTTCATAGACACCTCGGGTTGCCCTCTCCCAGTGGATCTGAAAAGGAGTCCGAGAGCCACTGACAGGGTAAATAATAATGTGCTTTGGGAATGATACCCAGCTTTGAATACAATGCCAACGGTCTATGCCATTGCAGAATGGCAACGCGTCTTATAGCAATCGTGAGTAGGTAAGAAGATGGACACATTTATCAGCCCACTGGGCTGATAAATGGCAAGTGAAATTTAGTCCTACCAAAACTGAAGCCATGCTATTTTCGACTAAAATTAATTCTAGTCCTAAATTACCTCTTCGAATGAATGATGTTCTTATACCTGAAGTAGGTGATCATAAACACCTAGGGCTGGTTCTTC